GCATGCAAGGCAAGTGCTCTACCACTGAGCCACCTTCCTAGCTCGAGAGGATTGAACTCTTAAGTCAAAATCCCTTTTGGCTGGTTCTATCTCAAGGACATGTTCTAGTGAATACCTGTCTGTCAGTGTTCATGTTTAGCATGACTACCACTTCCATCAGTTGCTTGGAATGCCTTTTGTTTTACAACGCATTCTTACTTTTTCAAGAATGATAAAGGCCCACAAAGAAAACAAGTCATCTCAGGATATGCAAAGGCTAAAATAAGTCACTGGAAACCCTCACATAAAAATGCTCAGGTGAGGGCTGGGAAGGTGGCTCAGTGGTAGAGCGCTTGCCTTGCATGAATGAGGCCCTGGGTTCGATTCCTCAGCACCACATAAGCAAAAAAAAAAAAAAGAAAAAAAATGCTCAGGTGAGTGGTAGCTCAACGGCAGAGCCCTTGCCTCCATATGTGATGCTCTGGGTTCTCTCTCCAGCACTGCAACAACATAAATGAATAAATAAAAATAAAAACACTAAGCAAGGCACTGGTGGCTCATGCATGTAATCCTACCTACTCAGGAGGCTCAGACCTGAGGATGGTGGTTGAAAGGCAGCCTGGGCAGGAAAGTGCATGAGACTTTTTGTTATTGTTGTTGGTTGTGGGGCTTGAATTCTGGGCCTGGTTGCTGTCCTTCAGGTCTTCAGCTCAAGGTGAGTGCTCTACCGCTTGAGCTACATTGCCACTTCCTGTTGGAGCTAAGAGTCTCACAGATTTTCCTGCCAGGGCTGGCTTTGAACCAGAATCCTCAGATCTCAGCCTCCTGAGTAGCTAGGATTACAGGCATTAGCCTGTTAGCTGTATGAGACTCTTTTTTTTTTTCTTGTAGTAGTCGTGGGGTATGAGACTTTTATATCCAATTAACAACCACAGATGTCTCAAAGTGATACAGCACTAGCCTTGAGCAGGGACAGTGCCCGGGCCCTGAGTTGAAGCCCCAGGCCTGGTATACAAAAGACACTCTCTGTCTCTCTCTCTCTCTCTCTCTTTCTCTCGGCAAGAGGGTCCATTGTGGTGACACACTGTAATCCCAGCTGTTTGTAAAGTAGCTACAAGAGGATTGCAGTTTTGAGTCCAAGCTAGGCAAAAGTAACACATCTCATAAACAAGCTGGGGCTGGTAAGCTCCTAACTATAATCTTAGCTGAGATCTGAGGATCATAGTTCAAAGCTAGTACTGCAGGAAAATTTTTGCAACTCTCATCTCCAATTAACCAACAAAAAACTGGAAGTGGATGTGTGGCTCAAATGGTATAGCTCCAGGCTTGAGCCCTAGTCCTGGTACATACACACAAATGCCAAGCGTGGTGGTATCTGTAATCTAACCTCATTGGAAAGTTGAGGAAGGAAAAAATCACGATCTGGATAAAAGAGTTAGGGGGGGAGAAAAACCTGAAGCAAAAAGACCTAGGTGGCTCAAGCAATAGAGCACCTTCCTAGCAGGTAAGAAGCCCTGAGTTTGAGCCACAGTTGTTCTCACTGATTCTCACACACACACAAAAAAATACCTCAAGAGAAAATATTGATTACAAGTTTCTCCTCCTCCTTTCCCCCCCCCCTTTCTTTTCTTTTTTTTTTTGGGGGGGGTCCAGTTTGGGGCCTGAACTCTGGGCCTGGGCGCTGTCCCTCAGCTTTTCAGCTCAAGGCTAGCACTCTACCGCTTGAGCCACAGCGCCACCTCCAGCTTTTTTCTTTTTGCTTATGTGGTGCTGAGAAATCGAACCCAGGGCCTCAGGCTTGCAAGGCAAGCACTCTACCACTGAGCCACCTTCCCAGCCCATCCCTATTCTTTTCTTGTTCTGGTCTTCGGGCTTGAACTCAGGGCATGGGCATTGTCCCTGAGCTTTTTTGCTCAAGTACTCTACTAGTTGAGCCACACCTCCATTTCTGGCATTTTGGTGGTTAATTGGAGCTAAGAGTCTCATGGTCTGGATGTCAGTGGCTCATACCTGTAATCCTAGCTACTCAGGAGGCTAGATCTGAGGATCATGGTTCACAGCCAGCCCAGGCAGGCAAGTCCATGAGAGTCTTATCTCCAAATAACTACCAGAAAACCGGAAGTGGTACTGTGCCTCAAGTGGTAGAGTGCTAGTCTTGAGCTGAAGAGCTCAGGGACAGTGCCCAGGCACACAGCTCAAAAAAAAAGAGTCTCATGGACTTTCCTGCCCAGACTGGCTTTGAACCACAATCTTCAGATATTAGCTAGGGATTACAGGCTGAGCCACTATTGTCCAGCTCTTAACATATTTATGGATTTTTTTTTGGGGGGGGGGTTGTCGGTTGTGGGCCTGAACTCTGGGCCTGGGTACTGTCCCTCAGCTCTTCAGCTCAAGGTTAGCCCTCTACCACTTGAGCCACAGCACTACTTCCGGCTTTTTCTGTTTATGTGGTGCTGAAGAATCGAACACAGGGCCTCATGCATGCAAGGCAAGCACTCTACCACTGAGCCACCTTAAAAATTTTTTAATCCATGTGGTATTACTTTGCTAATGGAAAATAAATTGATTTTGCTGCTGTTTTCCAAATGTATAACTTATCATTCCACCTCATTTATGGATCAATGGAGCCCATATTTTAAAGTACTGATTTTATTCTGCTAATTAGAAAATGACATCCACTGTTACTTGAGCCTGTGTGCTCTATCTACATGAGGCTGTGTTCCCTTCAGATTACAGAGTTACTGGAAACACTGTGTTATGTTACTGCTGTGGCCTTCGCAGCTTCCGAGAGCTGACCTATCAGTATCGGCAGAACATTCCTGCTTCTGAGTTGCCAGGTAAGGTGTCCACGACTCCAAGTCTGTCTTAATTGGCTTCTTGATCTGTGTATAACAGATGTTCAGTTTGGGCCTTGGTGCAGTGCTTATCATAGAATGAAAGTCCCAAGCTCACGCCTGTCATCTTAGCTACTCAGGAGGCTGTGTCTGAGGATCCTGGTTCAAAGCCTGCCCAGGAAGGAAAATCTGTGAGAGTCTTTTTCTCCAATTAACTACCAGAAAACTGAAAGTGGCACTGTGGCTCAAAGTGGTAGAGTACTAATGTTGAGTGAAAAAGCTCAGGGACAACGGCCAGGCCCTGAGTTCAAGCCCCATGACGAACAACAACAACAAAAAGAATAAAAGTCCCACATGACAAGGAGATGGGCACTTGAGCGTCGAGGTGCTATTTACTGTAGGACTAGACTTTTGTCACTGCTGGCCAAGGCAATGCAGTGTTCTAAAGCAAAGATGTCAATCTGATCATTGGAATACTTTCATTTCCTAGATTTGGTTTTCAGCAAAATTTGTTTTTCCTTTCCTTAATTCCTAGCATGGTCTGAGGAAACTTGCACTGAGAGGTTCATCATAACTCTGCTTACACATTCAATTAGCTAGCTGTGTGGCTACGTATGATCCCTAATGTGGGTGTGCATCTTCTCTTTTTCAGTGGCTGTAACATCCCGTCCTGACTGCTACTGGGGCCGCAACTGCCGCACTCAGGTGAAGGCTCACCATGCAATGTAAGTCAGGCTGAGGGTACAGCCAGCGAAAGGTTCTTGAGATTCAGGAAGGCAATGAAAACAGTCAACTCCGTTTAAATATGGATTAATTTGAGATCTGGGATGTAGCTCAGTGGTAGAGATCTTGATATTGGTTTAAGACTTGGGTGTACTGTTATTTTTTTTTTTTTTT